CGGTGCTCGGGCGGCCCGGGGCCCTGGCGGTGCGGGAGTGGAGAGTAACTCGGGCTGTGCTAGTGGAACTTTGGAAGAGGAGGGCTCTCGGGAGAGTGTGTCTGTCAGCAGCCACCAGCTCCCCTTGTGTTCGCGTGTCAGATCAGAGTTTCCCAATTGTATTTGGCCGCGGAACCCTTTTAAACTCAAAAGAGTTTTGTGGAACCCCTAAGAGCAGGCTTATATATCTATATAGCTGAAAAAGTAGACCACAAATAAGTAAGGGTAATAATACAAGGTCAAGGAGATCAACAAAATTGAAAATGGTTTTCAATAAAATTCATAAATGTTTAATATTCATTATTATTTTTGTAATAATAACATGTTATTGTAATGGAATTTTCTCGTGGAACCCTTATTTTCACTTCGTGGAACCCTGGGGTTCCCTGGAACACCATTTGAGAAACAGTGATAGAAATGTATAGAAATGGAGCCTGTTAGTCTGGGGGAGCTGAAACAAAATACAGGACTATGTAGCACTTTAAAGACTAACAAGATGGTTTATTAGATGATGAGCTTTCGTGGGCCAGACCCACTTCCTCAGAAACACTGTGTTAGATACTTGTAGCCTGTCATAGTGTGGTTGATTAAACAACTAACCGAGAAGCAAAAGCTTATAGGTTAATGCTGTAGGTCAGTGTTTCTCCCCCAGTGGTAGGAGGACCCTCAGGGTACTCCAGGGAAGTCTGGGGTTACATCAACACAAATGAAATTTGTAGAAAACTGAATTTTTGGTTTAAGTCTTACAGAGCTTTATTATTGTTGTACTTTTTACACCCAAAAATGTCATTGCCTGCTAGCTACAATTAAGTTGTTTAAACAAACATGTTGCAATGTGGTAGAACATTTTTGTGTGTGTCTGAAAACAGGTGTTTATCTTTTTGTTGTTGTTGTTGTTGAAAAAGGGGGTACTTATAATTTTTTTAAAGGGATTCTTTATTCAGAAAAGGTTGAAAAACACTGCTGTAGACTACATGCATCTTCCTCCTCCCCCCCCCCC